ATAGCCTGAGGCTCTGTCTCCAAAAAAAAAAAAAAAAAATCCCTAAACAGGTGGTGCCTGTGGCTCAAAGGAGTAGGGCGCTGGCCCCATATACCGGAGGTGGCAGGTTCAAACTCAGCCCCGGCCAAAAACTGCCAAAAAATAAAAATCCCTAAACAGCTCCAATAATCTGCATTTTTCTGGGGGAGGCATACCTGAGGTCAAATAGGCCCCTCTCCTTCACAGATGCTGATCCAAGGCCAGGAGGCGTCTGTTCAGCAGCCATTCCCGTGTCCTCCTTGAGTGGTACTGAGACTTCACCCCATGCCCCATTGGCAGGAAGAGCCCTTGCAGAGAGACAATTTCCATCCTGACCCATAGGCCTGTTCACTTCCTGGGGCCCCAAGTCCAGAGCAGGAATACTTATATGCTCCAGGAGAAACCTCCAGGGTAGACCTTGGGCTTAGGGGTGGGGTCTAAGGGGTGCTTTGGCCAGTGGTTCTCCAAAGTGTCTACCCATGTAAGCCAGCTCTTTGAATGGTGTTTGGTCAGGCTGACAGGCTGACCCAGCAGGGAAAAGTGACAGTGTTCTCTGTACCTGGGCAGGGGGTATGGGGGTGGCCACTGGTTGTTAACCAAGGCAGGCCATCCCTCCCCACTTGAGGGCTACAGAGGACAACAGTGTGCTTGGCTGGCCTGGGAGCTGTAGGTTGCCACTGCAGAAGGGGCTGGGGACTGGTGGGCCAGACAGAGGGGTGGGGTGGCTGCTAAGACCTGTTGGTGTGTGTCATGGGAAGTGGCTGCGTCTGCGGTAGCGCCTGCCGGGTACAGGAGCAGGCATGAACTGCTTTCAGGTTTGGGCTGGGGTGTTGGTGGCTGGTGGGAAGCCATTGCTACCCATAATTTTGTTGTACCTAATTCATTGCTGATACAGTGTTATGTGACACAGTCTGTACTTAAATTCTCATTTGTCCCCCATATATATATATATATATATATATTTTTTTTTCTTTTTAGAGATAGAGTCTTATTTTGTCGCCCTTGGTGGAGTGCTGTGGCATTATAGCAACCTCCAGCTCTTGGGCTTAGGCAAGTCTCTTGCCTTAGCCTCCTGAGTAGCTGGGACTACAGGTGTCTGCCATAAAATCTGGCTATTTTTTTTTTAAATGTTGCAGTTTGGGTGGGGCCGGATTCGAATCTGCCACCCCTCAGTATATGGGGCCGGCGCTTTACCCACTGAGCCACAGGTGCCGCCCCCCCATCAGATTTTTTTTTTTTTTAGCTGGGACGGTAGGCACCCATCACAATGCCTGGCTTATTTTTTTATTGCAGTTTGGCCAGGGCCGGGTTTGAACACACCACTCTCGGTTCATGGGGCCGGTGCCCTACTCACTGAGCCACCCTGGGTTTTTTTTTTTTTTTTTTTGCAGTTTTTTGGCCAGGGTCGGGTTTGAACCCACCACTTCGGGCATATATAGGACTGGTGCCCGACTCCTTTGAGCCACAGGCGCCACCCCAGATTTTTAACTTGATGTCTTTTCTCCCCTACAGGAAGGGTTCCTTATCTTGGTTCTAAGGCTACTTTATTGAATAACGAAATGAACAAGCCTGACTTCATATCACTGAGTGGAAAGAGCAGCAGCCTGGCTAATGTCTTCTAATATGCAGTATGCTACAGGCTGTGGAGTGGACTCTGGAGCTAAGGGCAGAGGGCTAAACAAGGTTTTAGAGACTGCCACCAACATGCCAAGTCAGTAAACCGGCAGCTGTTCAGCTTTCGAGGTCTGGGAGAAGATATCCACTGCCTGCTGGATCTGGAGCTCTAGAGAGCCAGGCTTTGCTAGAAGCAGCATGACCTTACCCACCACCTTAGTTCCCAGCTCAGTGGAGTTTGTGACAGTCCTGGCAGACCTGCAAGCGGAAGCTAGCTGTCCCATCTGTCTAGACTACTTGACGGACCCAGTAACCATCTGCTGCGGTCATAACTTCTGTCACTCCTGTATCAGTATGTCTTGGAAGGATCTAGAAGGCAGTTTCCCCTGCCCTTCTTGCCGCTTTTGCTGTCCAGAAAGGAAATTCATAAGCAATCAACAGCTGGGTAATTTGACTGAGATGGCAAAGCTAATCCAGATAAGAGGAACCAAGAGGAGGCGGCAGGAAGAGACACATGTATGTGAGAAGCACAACCAGGTTCTGACCTTATTCTGTGAAAAAGACCAAGAGGTTTTATGTCTGCAGTGTAGTGCTTCTGCTGGTCACCAGCATCACCGAGTTTGGCCCATAGAGAAGGCTGCACCCGCTCATAGGAAAAACTTGGAGTCTTACATTGCAGCATGGGAGGAGAGTGTGGAACTATTTGGAAAAGTGTTAACTATGCAAACCAGAAAATCCCTGGAACTGGAAAAAAAGGTAAAAAGTAGGAGAAAAGAAGTCAAGTCTGAATTTGAGCAACTTAGGTTGTTCCTCCAAAATCAGCAAGAGACTATTCTCAGACAACTGCAAGATGAAGAAGTGGATGTTTTAGCAAAACTAAACGAAAACCTAACAAAAATTTCAGATCACGCCTCCTCAGTAAAATGCCTATTAAAGGAGATTGAGACCAAATATGCCAAGTCAAAACTGGAGTTACTGGCAAGTGTTAAGAGTATCTATCACAGATATAAAACCTTGAAATGCCCTGAACCATTTTCATGCAAATTAGAAGAATATGGTTACTCTTTTCCTCCACAATATTCTGGCCTTAACAAAATTATCAAGCGATTTCGAGTAGATGTAATTCTAGATCCTCTAACAGCACATCGTAAACTTATCGTCTCGGAAGACAGAAAAGCTGTGCGATACGGAGATACACCTCATAACTTACCTCATAACAAAGAACGATTTTATCTGTGCCCAGCTGTTGTGGGTTCTAAGAGATACCAGTTGGGCAGGAAGTACTGGGAAGTTGAAGTTAAAGACAAGCCCGAGTGGGTGGTGGGTGTCTGTGATCAGTCCCTTCCCAGAAGGAAGAAGACTCAGAATCAACCCATGTCAGTACAGCATGGACTGTGGGGAATTGGGCGATGTAGTAAGAGTAATTACATTGTATTAGGTCCTAAGAAAGTTAATCTTCTGCCAAAAGTGATACCTAGCAAGGTTGGAATTTTTTTAGACTTTGAAATGAGTAGGGTTTCCTTTTACAATTTGAGTGATGGGTCTCTTCTGTATATGTTGAATGATAATTTCACAGGACCACTTTGGCCTTATTTCTATACTGGAACTGACTCAAAACCTCTTAAAATCTGTACAGGAACAGGTTCTGAATGATGAACTATTGGGAGTCTCCCATTTGTTTCTTTTTCTTTCAGTTTGTGGACATAACTGAGCCTGTAAATCTAGGCTTGATAATTTTTTTTTTTTTTGGTTTTTCCTACAAATAACGAGTATAATTTTTATCTCATTTTCAGCAATTTCTAAAAATGTGATGAAATTGCCTACTTTGTAGATAAAGCATAGGGTCCAACTGGAAGATGCCCTAGAATGACAATTACAACTGAAACCACTACAGGGCCTTGTGGCGGGCGCCTGTAGTCCCAGTTACTTGGGAGGCTGAGGCAAGAGGATGGCTTAAGCCCAAGAGTTTGAGGTTGCTGTGAGCTGTGATGCCATAGCACTCTACTGAGGGTGATATAGTTAAGACTCTCCAAAAAAAAAGTACTACTTATGAAGGATATTACTTAAGAAAATCTGTTGCTCTAGTAATTGCCAATAAAAGACCAATAGTTTTTTCTGTATTAATTGCCTAGGTATTATTCCTTTAAGAAGAATTAAGTCTTGCTGCCCCTGGATGCAAGGTGCCCAGGGCTGGGGCCTCTTCTCTACACAGGGAAGGGTTCCTCCCAGACACTTGCTGGGGTCTCCAAGGGCTCCAGAGACCTCTTCAGTAGCATCTTGGGGTAGACAGCTTTCTGGGGTTTCTCTCAGGGGAGAGGAAGTGCTTCCTTGGGAATGGGGTGGGTTTTAGGAAAGAGTGATTTGGAGGTGAGCAGTCTGAAGGCTGCCTCCTGTGTGTTACAGAGGTGCCTGGTGAAGGCTTGTCCTGGAAGGAGGGTATAGGAACCAGGTTCTGGTTGAGATCATAACGGTTCAGGGGTTAGGGTAAGGTGACCAGATTTTAACATTGGTCAAGTAGGACACCATGGGGGTGGGGTGGGGCCTGACAACAATGCAAACTTTGGTAAGCAGTTCTCAATAATCAGTTCTCAACAATTATTTGTTATTATTAAAGTTTAACATAAAATTAACAAAAATCAGCTTGATGCCTATGGCACTGAGCCTGGAATTTCATATTTTGTATGACAACTATGGAAGATCAAAAATCAGAAATAGGTTTGGTGCCCATAGTTCAGTGGTTAGGGCTCTGGGCACATACACCTGGGTTGGCGGGTTCATATCTGGCTTGGGCCTGCTAAACAACAATGAAAACAACAACAAAAATAGCTGGGTGTTGTGGCGAGTGCCTGTAGTCCCAGCTACTTGGGAGGCTGAGGCAAGAATAACTTGAGTCCAAGAGTTTGAGGTTGCTGTAAGCTGTGACACCATAGCACTCTACTCAAGGCGACATAGTGAGACTCTGTCTGCAAAGAAAAAAGATGTCTCCAAGTAATCTACACAAATTAAGTCTTTAAAGGGTTTAATACAGTCAGATTACTAAATCAAAAGAAAAACCAGGGGCTTAGTGCAGTGGCTCATGCCTATAAGCCTAGCATCCTCCGTGGCTGAGGCAGGAGGATCCCTTGAACTCAGGTGTCTGAGGGTGCTGTGAGAAAGACCATGGCACTCTAGTCTGGGTGACAGTGAGACTCTGTCTCAATAAAATAGACTGCAAACAAGGCTCGGGCCTATAGCTCAACCGGATAAGGCGCCAGCCAC